GGGGGAAGAGCAAGCGAGAGAAATGCTTCAACTGACACTATAATATATATATATATATGATAATACGATAATAATTAGGGTTCACTTCTATGCATTTCTAATATATATATATATATATAGTGTTAAGTAAACAAACGCCTGCAGGTATGGATAATCCGCGAATAACTATGTCTTGTGACGTCACGCGCGTGTTAGCAATACTAACCGGATACAAGCTGTGTGGAAAAAAGCAAAAAATCTTTACCATGCTTTTAAAATGTCAATTACAATCCAGAGGACATGGAGGTTGAAGGTGACAGAACATATTCTGAGTTGGTGAAAGTACTGAGCGATTCAGATGGTGAAGCATGGAGTGATGAAGACTCTGCTTTGGAGGTGGAAGACGGGGAGTTCTTGTAGGATACAGCAAATTTTATAGACTATTACGATCCAAAGTTTTGTGTATATACAACTCAAATATTGACATGTCTGCGCACTTTAATTAAACAACTTGTATTAATATTGTGTTAAAGTTCAGAAATCAAATATGATAAATGACATTAAACATGCTGGTTTGAATATGGTTGACATTTGAACTAAATTTGATAGTTAAATATCACAAAGGATTTGTATCTATTTCAGTACTGAATGTACATGAACAATAGAAATTTATGTTTAATTACTGGCTTGCTAAATTGGGAGGCATTGATGTGATTTGAAATTGTAAATGTGTGCCAAATGATGTTTCCTTTTATAGAGGTAAAATACCTGTATGACCTCATGAGAGAAACTGTTCAGGTGATTTCTCTTGTCCGCATAATTTTGAAGACACTATATATGAGAAATAAAATGGTTAAAAAAAATATATATATATAAGGGAAAAATGTTGTTTCATCAAATCGAATGCTTTGTACATTGGAGATTTGTTGGACGATTCCAGTTAGGCCTATCTGCAAATCAACAACATATAAAGAAAGTTGATAAGCAATGTTGACCAATTGATCAGCTAATCAAATGTTTTGTACATTGGCGATTTGTTTGAAGATTCCTTTCTGCAAATCAACCACATGAAAAGAAAAAATAGAAAAATCTGGCCGATGGATCAGTGGTTTCTTCTCCAGCTAATCTAGCTAAATAATGGGGGCCCGGGTGGGGGGCTTATTTGGGGGCGTCTGGTGGGCACACCCCTGATACATGGGACTATATCGAACATTTTTCAATGGGTCCTAGAAAGTCTTCTTTCCAGCTAATCTAGCTCAATTTTGTACCGAGGTACCGGTTTTGTAAGTCTGGCGGATACGCCCCACCACTGAAAAATTCTCGCAGTGTCCATTCATGATACCTGGGACCATGGCGAACATTTTCCAATAGGTTTCATGGTGTTTCCTCTCTAGCTAATCTAGCTCAATTTTGGGATGCCTTTCATATGACCCCACTGACCACACCCACCACCGGGTGCCCGGCAGACGTCCATTTCCTTACATGGGTATGTATGTACATGAATCATTGCTATATATTATATGACAATTGGTTTTCTTTCCAGCTAGGCTGACCCCCTAGGCTCCTGCTCTAATATAACAGTCTCAGTTCTGCCATCTTCATTGTTATCACAGATGCGCACCGCGAATCGTGACGTCACGCGGGATCTTTCGCTAATGTTGGTGTACGTGGCGGCGGAACGCCGTAATAGCCCGGCAGATTTGTGAATGAATTGTGATTTTTATGATACAAGCATGAGTTTTGGCACACTGTTAGAGCATGCCCTAAGGAAAATTTTTGGCTATAGGGCCATCGCATATTTGTCCCATGGCAACAATGGCGGCCATTTTCCAAGAT